GGGGCCTGAGGGGAGGAAGGGGGGAGGTGAGGGGTCCGATCGGGAGGGGACCGAGGGGGAAGGTGCTGCGGGGCCTGAGGGTCGGCTTTGGATCGAGGGGGGCTGGAGACCGGAGGGGTCGCTGTCGGAGCGGGAGGGGCTGCGCCTACCGGGAGGCTTTGCAACCAGGTCAGTGGAAATGCATGGACACGTAGCTGCAGCTAGCAGAGCGGCTCTAAATTTGGATCAGTCCCTCCACTGGGTGTGTTGGAAATCACCAGAAAGGTGCTTTTGGTGTTTCTCTTGTGCTTCTAACGCCTGAATATCACCAGGGGCGCTTGATTCCCCCGCTGGAGCGTCTCAGGTGAAGAGGGGCAGGCGTCCTCCTAGTGGAACCTGAGGACCTGTGGAGGGACCGCTCTCTCCTGGGGGACGCATTTGGGCTCGGCGCTGACTTGTCCCCCCTCCCCGCCGTTGTCAGGGGGCTCGATCCAGCTCCGTCCAGACCGCGTGACCCAGCTAGCGGCCAGCCCGCCCGGGCGGGAAGGGCTGTGGGCCCGGCCCCTGCCCCCATCCGTGGGTTTGACCGGTGGTGAGTCACGCCCGGCACTGCGGCCGTCCTGTTTCTCTCTTCCCCCAGGGAAGAAACTGCTCCCAGACCCTCCAGGAGCAAGGAAGAGCCCTGAAGGTGGTTTCAGACCCCGGTGTAGAGAGTCAGGGTCACGCAGAGTGGTGGTTGGCGCGCTCCCCCAGGAACTGGGTTGACCCCTCACTGCGCTGACTTCGTTGAAGCGCTTGGAGGAACTTATCTTTTAAGTCACTTTGAAATGGTGGGAATTGGTGACTCAGACCTTTGGTCCAGGCCGTGCAGTAGGTGCTCAGCAAGTCCGCGCTCGAGTGAGTCACTGTGAGCGCTGGGACTGCCTGCCTGGTGTTGCGACCTGCGGGTGCCCTGGGACAGGCAGCCTGGAGCTGGGCAGTGTCTGTCAGAGGCCTTGTCTTTCCGATGTCAGGGTGCAGGCGGGCACTTTGAGTAAACTGAGTAAATATGCCTGAGGCGGGGACCGCTGGGAGGGACTGGTTAGGGAACGGCCTCGTGCTCTCCGGCTGTTGGTTTTCTGCTGCACTGAAGACTGGGAGGCTAATGGAAAGCTAATTCTGCATTTAAAGCATTCCCCCATAGAGGACTTTTTTACTCTGTTTTATGGGGAGGTGCAAGATCACTTCACACTTGTGCAGCTTGATGGGTACGTGTGACATTTGCAAGGAAGGTTCACTATCAGTGCACTATTAGTGGTGGCTGGAAGTATTATCTTTTTTTGAACAGTGTTTTTTGGTAACTTTATTGAGATATACACATACCATGTAATTCACTACCCATTTAGACAGTACAGTTCAGTAGTTTTTAGTATATTCACAGAGTTGTGTAGTCATCACCGGTCATTTTTAGGTTAATTTCATCACCTCAAAAAGAAACCCTGTAACACCCTCCCCCAAATCATCCCCCCCCCCAACACGAGGCTAATCTGCCTTTTATCTTTGTACGGATTTGCCAATTCTGGACATGTCATATAAAGAGAACTGTAAAATACGTGGTTTTTGTGTCTGGCTTCTTTCATATGCCATAGTGTTTTCAAGAGTTGGACGTTTGGGTCATTTTTACTTTGGGCTGTTGTGAGTGACGCTGCCAGGAACCTTTCTGTACACAGTTTTGTGTGGACATAAGTGTTCATTTCTCTTGGGTCTACCTGGGAGTGGATGTAGCCAGGGTCGGGCAGTAACTCGCCGTTTAACCTTTTCAGGAACTGCCAGACTGGTTTTCATTTTTTTGTACATTCCCACCAGCAGTATATGGGGTTCTGGCCTATCTGCACCCAGCTTGTTATTGTCTGTCTGCTTGACTTCAGGTGCAGAATGATAACTTTGTTGTGATTTTTTTGTTTGTTTGTTTGTTTTTAAAGATTTTATTGGGGAATTAGAAGAGAAAACAGCGTTGGGGAATCGGGGAAGGGGAACAGACAAGTTGCTGTCCTTTTGTTCTTCAGTCTAGTTGTGGAGGACGCTGCTTCACTGGCCCATGTTGGTATTGTCATTGCGCTCTTCCAGCTGAGGCAGATTGGTCGCTGGCCATTGGACGGCCGTTCACGGCGCCTCACCAGCAGCTCATGCCAACTGCCAGCCACTCACGGTAGCTCACGGCAGCCCACTGCCACAGGGGCTGCAGCCTACACCGTTGCTGGTGACTCTCGGCAGCCCAGCTCCAGTTCAAGCTGCTGTTCACCATCTTAGCTGTGGAGGGCGCAGCATCACTCGCCCTCATGTGGGATCCGAACCAGCGGCCCTGCTGCTCAGAGCTCGCCCTCCCAAGCCGACTCTTAACCAACGCACCATTCGGCCGTCCCTGTTTAGACATTTTTAAATGGTTGATTGTCCTCTTTATTATTGAGTTGTAAGAGTCCTTTATATATTATATGACTTGGAAATAGTACCTCCCATTTTTTAAATTGTCTTCACTTTCTTGACGGTGTCCTTAGAAGCACAAAGTTTTAAATTTTGTCCAGTTTATTTTTCCTCTTTTCACTTGTGCATTTGGTGTCACGTCAAAGACCTGTTTGCCAAATTCAAGGCTATGAAAACCTATGCCTTTGTTTTCTTCTAAGAGTTTGATGGTTTTAGCTCAGACATCTAGGCCTTTGACCTGTTTTCCGGTGGAGTTTTGTGTATGGTGTGAGCCAGGGGTCCAGAAGCATTTCTTTGGATCCAAAAAGTACCCAAGCTTTTAACATTTCAAACAGTTATTCTTGGTGGTTTTTGTTTTTTTTTTTTTATTCAAAATATTGGGAAGGTAATAAATGATTGTAGATTAGAGCTTGTCCCTAGTGGCTCGTGGGTAGTTTCATAGATGCTGATGACAGCGATGCCTGCAGAAACCAGACTGCACTAAACCTACACGAGTTAGGGTTTCTAAAGGGGACTGAGGAGAAAGGAGGGGGAGTAGCGGGGCTGGGAGCTAGCTGGGCGGTGGGGTACAGGGAGGGCCAACAGAGCCCCCTCCCTCCAGGTCCCCATCCCTGACCAGCTGCTGCTGACCCATGGGGCTCGAGCCTGTGACTGGCTTGTCCCAGGAACAAGGGGACTTGATCCGTCTGCTTTGCACTGCCCAGCAGCGCGGTGTCCAGGCCAGGCTGTGTGGTGCAGTCCGAGCGCGCGTTGGTGGTTCGGGGAGCTGACAGGCATCGCATCGTCTGCTAGAAATGCAGCCTGCTTTGCCTTTGCCCCTCCCCCCCACACACATTATGACCCCTTCACGGAGTATTTTCCTTACATTATTTTTAAAAAAAACCTCACAGTAATAGAATTTTATTATTTTTAGCAATGTCATGAATTAGAATGAACAAAAAATGGAAACCAGGATGCTAGCAAACAGGAAATGTGTGTGCCACCAATTCAGGCAATTATTTCTATTTGTGTTAAGAAACATCATATGGTTGTAAAACTTTTCAAACTTATGATTTTCTGTAGCGTCTCAATGTGTCTGAAAAGTAGTTGAGCTTTTTGGTTACTAAAATGCATATCTGCCCATCCTCTTCTCAGATTTCTTTATAAAACCTGGTGGTTTGGAAAGATTTCAGAGGTATTCTAAAGGCATCTCCACGCATAAGGATTTGCCCCGGGCGCCTGTCAACAGACATCTTTCTGAGCTTTTTCACCCTTAATCTTTTCACAGACGGAATCATTCCCAAATGCCGGGAAATCCCTCATTGGATTGCTGTTTTTTAAACAGACTTTTGTGAACAGCCTTTCATCTTCAGCCGGAAAGAAAGGTTTGTTTTCTCCCCTTGGAATGTTAGGACAAACCCCATACCAGGGCAGGGAGGAGGTGTTCTCCCGCTGGGTCGCCAGAGATAGGGGCAGTCATTTTCTGGGAGGAAATTCCTGCCTGTGCTTTAGAAAAAGGAGGGAATTCCAGAAAACTCTGGGGTGGAGGAACAGGAAGCACCTCTTGCCCCAGAGGAGCGACCAGCCTCTTCCACCTGCTCCGTGGAAGGCGGGCGGAGCCACAAGGCATGATGGTCCGCTCGCCCTGGAGCCGGCCTGCGGAAAGATCCGGGAAGCTTGGGCTCTCTGCTCATGTTTTCATGATGAATCGTAAGAAGTATCAGGTAGACATCTGCTTTCACCTTTGCCTTGCGGGGAAGTGAGCCCCCCTGGTTCTCTGCAGAGACCCTGTCCTCTTGTCTGACCACTTCCGCAGGGGTTGGAACTATAGGAGCTGATGGCCAGCCCCTGTCCTGTCTGGGGCAGATTTGGCTTGGGGAGGCAGAGACTGGGCAGTCAGTTCAATTTCGGGCAGCTGTTTCTTCATTGGCGGCGGCCATTTGGGATCACTGGGGTGCGACTGGCTGGCGGTGCCTCCTAGGCTGAGATTTGAGTCTGTTTGCTCTCTAAAATCGTGTCAGTAGCAGATCACATCTGTCTGGGACTTTCTTACTGTGCTTTGGGACACCCAGACAGGGGCATGAGGTTCAAGGTGGCCCGGAAGAGGCATTGTTGGCCCTGCTCCACCCAGCCGCAGATGGTCCTCCCCCGGTGACTGCGACTGCGCTAGGAGTCGAATCTGGAAATCTGAGAGCACTGTGCTCTGACTCAAGTTCAATACCACCTTGAATTTGGACTTGAGACCCAGCAGAGCTGGAGGGGGCATATCTAGATGGGAGATTCTCAAGCTGTGAAGAGCTTTTGTCCTGTCTTAATTCAAGCACAAAAGCACCAGTGTGGTGCCTCCGGGGTGGGATTTGGACAGCCTCCCTTCAGACACCTGGCCTGAGCGTCTGGTTGATGGAATTAAACGGATCTTTCAATTGCTTCCCGGACTATGTGAAAATCGATTAGTGCTTTTGTGGAACCTGAACCCATTCTTCTCATAACTAGTTTGCCTTTGAAACCCTTAAAGGTTGGATTTTACCTTTGCAGTTTTGAGCAGAATGACCTTGTTCAGGTGTCTGGCTGTCTCGCTGTTCTCTGTACCAGATAAAACCTTACAGAGTTCAGGTGCCGAAACAAGGTGGCAGCCCATCTGGAGAGCTGCCTGATACAGGAAAAGTTGGCATGTTACATATACTGTGTGTTTCCCCACACAGATGGTAAAGCAAGCCTTTAATAAACTTCTCGAAATATTTCCTGAATTGTCAGTCTGAGCTAAAAAAGTCACTTAAATTTCCAGTAAATATTTGAAATTAAAATGGGTGTTTTAAAAAGAAAATTGTGACAAAATACATGTAAAATACAGAAAATTTTACCATTGGTGATATTTAGTATATTCAATGTCGGACAATCCAAAATGGGTGCTTTCTGCTTGAACAACACTTTTGTCATAAGATATAGTGGAATAAGGATGTATTCTAATAATTGAAGTAAGTGCGCACATGACTTTTTTTATTTTCCAGAAAATTTTCTTACTGGAGCTGAAGCCAGAGTATTTCTGGTGTGTGTCTGATGCCAACAGTTAAAACTCTAGCAGTACATTTCTTTTGTTCCTACCGTGTCATTGACGCACAGGGATTTTGCTCCCCAGCTCTCCCCAGCTCTCCCTGTGTTGTCTGAGGGTTTGGGTGCTTGGGGCCAGCGTGCATCTGCCGGCCTCCGAGGACGGCTCTCCCAGGTCTCCGTAACCCTCAGGCTGCTCTTACAGATGTGGAAAGCTTCGGCAGGCCACGCCGTGACCATCACCCAGGACGACGGGGGAGCTGACGACTGGGAGACTGACCCCGATTTTGTGGTACGAGTCACCGGTGTTCCCCCGTTTTAGTTTTCCTAGGCTTTTGTTCGGGGGGTTCGTTTATTTCCCATGTGCGCTGTGGAGTTTCCTCATCACTTACTTTTCCTTTCAGAACGATGTAAGTGAGAAAGAACAGAGATGGGGGGCCAAGACCGTGCAAGGCTCTGGGCACCAGGAGCACATCAAGTAAGAGACTTGCTCAGTGTCGGTGGGAAAATGGTGTTCTGAGAGAAGAGGAAATATGCTTATACCTCTGGGTAATCCGAGGGATGCCGTCGTGTGTTGGAATTGCTTTTGTTTTATCTGATGACCTGATACAGTTGTGCGGTAGATGAGGACAAGACAGGATGTACATATTTGTGTGTGTGCATACGTGTCTGTATTAACAGATTTACAGATGAGTGAGTATAAAACTTGTGTGTGTGTATATACATGTATATATGCTAATAATTTTACAGATGAGTATAATATATGTGTGTGTATGTACAAGTATATATACTAATAATTTTACAGATGAGTATAAGACGTGTGTATGTCCATGTATATTACTAGTAATTTACAGATGAGCATAAGATGAGTGTGTGTACATTCATGTATAAATGTACTTAGAATTCTAGAGAGTCTGCTTTTCAATGTTGTGGTTTTTATCAAGGACACACTTTCCTAAGCTCTTTCGACACCTGGAGGTTTTTCACATAGGGGATGTCTTAGACAGTCTTAGACTTTAAACACCCCTCCTTGATTTTTATTGTCTTATTATAATTTTGTTATTTTATCACTGCCCATCGGGTACTGTGAACTGAATTCTCAGCATTGTGTTCTCACGAAAAGCCCTGAATAGGAGGACTGAGAAGCGTGTCATTGTCCCTGCCTTGGCAGCGTAAACCGCCACCTTTTGGGTAGTTTGTCATCTTGTCAGGAAGTGTAGATAAGAGGGACTTTTAAAATGTGCTCAGACTTTTATTTTAGGCCACTCTGGGTTCGGGTGTGGCCCCCCTCCCCCGTTACCTGATCATGAGGGTGCCGTCACTGACCAGGGGACCTGCTTCGGTCATGCGCAGAGAGCTTGTCTGCCTCGGCCCTGTAGCTTTGCGATAAGATGAGGCCGTTCTTGTCTGGGAAAGTTTCAGTAAGTCATCCAGAGAAGAAGGGCAGTCTGCCGGTGGCCATATCAGACACAAGTGTCCGTGCCCCGCCGTGCTGCGCCCACACCCTGCCCAGAAGCCCCTTGAGGCCATAAGGGCCCTGGGACGCAGAGAGGAGCTGGGACTGGGGCTGCCTGGGTTATTGGCTGCAGTGTTAGGCTGACTCCCATGTTGATTCAGTCCCATGGCCTGGAGACATGCCGGAGAGGGCAGATTGGAGAACAAAGGAATGCTCTGGTACAAGCAGGCGGCCTCTGGATTGGCTGGAATTCAGAGCCCACAGGGGCACAGGGACAGCTCCCGGGGCCTGTGGTCCCTCCGGGAGTTTGGGAGTGGTGTCTTCCGTCCCCTGCCCATAGGGGTTGGGTGGTCTCCCAATCTGCCCTGTTTTTTAGCAACACTCCTGGGCTTGTTGTCCAGATACTGAAGGTGTGGGCGTGGTGGCCCCGGGCTCCCCAGGGCTTCCTGGTGGGGATGGCTGCAGGCTTCCAGGCCGGCCAGAATCTGACCACTTCTTGGAATGACCTCTTTCACTATCCCAGGTGTTTAAAGCAAACAGTGGCTTTTAGGTTGTAGATCCTGAAAGGCTTTTATTTCACCTTTGAATATATAAAAAGCTGGAGTACTCCAGGTACAGAGAAGCTGTCTTAAGTGTTTCTACCAGCGTCCTAGCAATACCTGGGGAAGGGACGTCTGATTTTGTTTCCCCCTCCGCCTCGGAGGTGACATTTACAGAGCTAGTTCTTCTAACTCCGTTCTATAATAAAATGGAGATGCTCTTCTCCACTTGAAACAAACAAAGGGAGTTCACATTTCAGGGCAGCTACCTTTCGGGGGGCTTGGGGGACTCGCTGTACAGAGTCAGATCTGCTTCCCCTAAATGGACTTGCGTTGACTCTGAGAACTGCAGGAGCAGGTGGCCAGCTGGCAGGACCATGAAGAAAGCAGTGAAGGCAGAGTTTGGGGGGCCCCAAATGACGCCTTGTGCATGCACCAAGAGGCTGTTTCCTGTCCTTACTTATCCCAGAAGGAAAGGACGCGCATCTGTCTTATCGCCTTGTTCCTGTTTCATGTCTTCCTTCAGCATTCACAAGCTGAGAGAGAATGTTTTCCAAGAACACCAGACCCTCAAGGAGAAGGAGCTTGAAACGGGGCCCAAAGCCTCTCATGGTTATGGAGGGAAGTTTGGCGTGGAACAGGACAGGATGGACAAAGTAAGTGGGCTGTCGCACTGGGTTCCCGGCGTGCTTTGCCCTCTATGATGGTTGGCAAAGTAGCCGCTCCATCCTGCTCCTCAGGTTAAGTTGTGAGTCGATTTGGTGAGGATGAGATTTGCCAAAATCTGTCCTTTGGTGATCAGCCGCGCTCATAAAGTGCTCCCGTTTTTTAGACGCCCTTTTAAGCTTCTCAGATGTTGGAGTGTGGATGATGTGTAGGGAGGCCCAGAGCGGATCAGCCCCCAGAGACCAGTCCTGGGACCAGGACAGAAGTCCAGAGGCATACTGACTGCAGGTGGTAATGTCCCCACTGCCTAAAGTTCCGTGTGCAGCCTAAATTGTACCAATCCGCATACCAGAACCAGATCTGTGGGCCCCATGTTCCACATCACGGGTGAACATGCAGCCTTCATGCATTTGGGGACCTTCAGAGAGCATCCTGGCACTCGGCATAGTCACTGCCCCCCAGCCTAGTCCAAGTACACAGCAATGGAAGTGTTGACTGAATGCATCAGCCTTGGACGGTACAGGGCATAGATTCCCCCCCACACCCCCCCCTCCTGGAGAGAAGACAGTGGACTGTTGTGGGTTTGCTTCTCCAGTCAGGCTGTTCTTTACATTCTGTGCATGTCCCTGGGGGACGGATTCCTCAGTCTGAGCAGCACAAGGAGGTTCTGACCCAGCAGAGGGCTGCCTGCCTTCTGTGTGGAAGTATCCGCTGGTGTCGGGTTCTGTTCTGTAATTCCACACCTGGCCCCTCGTGCAGGGATCAGATTCAGCCTCTGAGCTGTGTTGGGCCTGTGTCACAGTGCACTGCTCTGCGCCGCACTCTGTCACTGCCGAGCAGATATGTGGGGGCCTGTGGGCAGCACGAACCACGTCCAGAATTAGCTTGGAGCTGGAATCGGATAAAGAACGAACTGCAGGAAAGAGACAGGGACTGTTCACAGTGTGACTGTCACTCGCGGAGACGTCTTGACACCGAACAGGGAAAGTGGGGGACAGAATTATCTTTGGATTCTAAAAAAAAGTATGGTAGGTTTTAGTGGTGCAAACAGACAGACAAAACCCCGTGTGTTTAGGGCAGTGAGAGAACTAAGTAAGTAGAAGCCTTTCCCACCCCAGTGAAGCCTGTGCTTGCAGGATCGGGGGAATTAAAGTGAAGACAAATTCAGGAGAAGTTTGCACCCCCATCTCCGGGCTGGAAATAGGACACTTTGGGGAAATCAGTGAAAATCTATCAAGGAAGAGCTTGAGAACAGCAGCCACGCCACTGGCACTTCCTGCTCCTCTGTTGCTGCTGGGCCCATGTGACTCCTAGAGCCTTGGCTGAGGCCTCTCTAGCCCAAGAAGCTTCTCTGATGAGCCCCCCTTCCCCCTGTGGTGCCTGGACAGCTGGGAGACGTGCTCTGTCTTCCTCAGCGGGCGAGCTGGGCCGTCCTCCCCAAAGATGAGTCCCACGGTTTCCCCTGTGTGCCTCAGTGCATGAGGGAATGTCAGCTCTCAGCTCACATGAGCACAGTTGGACCAACCTGTTGTCAGAAATAACTTAAGATTTAAACCCAAACATAAGTGGCTTAAGTTATCTGTAACTTGTCCTGTCCTGAAAGTGAAAAGACCCCCAGGGATTTCTGTGTTGACAATTGAGGACGGTGTGGTAGAGACTTCCGGAACAAACCCACGTCAGTGAGCACATTTGTGAGGGGTGGGTGGACGGGAGGCGCGCAGCTGTCGGGTCCTGTCTGCACTGCAGTCCGAGCGTTTGCAGCCTCCAGGGCCAGAGGTGGCCGTGCTGCGTGGCGTGGGCGCCATCCCTTGTGTCAGCCACATCCGAGACCCAGAGCCCTTTCAGCGCCCTTCCCAGTGCTAATGGTCCAGTAACAAACCGGGTTTCATCAGTAGAAGGTCATGGACAGTTTAGGGGTAATCTGTGTCGATCAAAAAGCTGGAAGAATTGCCAAGCCGTCACTCTGGCCACATTTTTAGAACCGCTTTCTTCCAGGTTGTTTCGGATCAGTCCTGCTGGTAAACCCTTTGGCACCCGCCTGTGGGCGCTGCTTTGTTGATGTTTTTCGCATGTGACCCTGGAGGCCACTGTGGGCAGCCTCCGCCACAGAGGCTTTCAGAGGTCGTGGGGCCCACGCATTGGCATTTGGCTACAGGCGTCGGAACCCAGGAAGAAAAGAGGAACACAGCTCCGAAGTTTTTTCCCTGGGACATGGGAGGAATGGGCAGTGAGTTGCTCACTGCGTGTCAGAAATGGTGTTGACCCTGTTTTAGTTTGACCCCAAACCCCGTTTGTGAAGTTTGAGATAAACAGACTGGAAGCTTGTTTGTGGCGGGGCCTCTGACAGGCCCCTAACTGTAGGAGGCCGCTGGGGGGTGCAGGGCACATCCCGGGCAGTGGCGACTTGCTGGAGTAGGAACAACGGTTTGGATGTGCCTTCTCCACGCCCCGCACCGGGTCACGTGTCAGTCACATGTCCTTGCTGTCCCTGAAGGGGTCCGTGACCAGTGTCCACTCTGACCCAGGAGCCGGTGGGGGTGCCGTGAGGCTGGGCAGGGCTTGGAGCCCCAGAGTTTGGGTAGGAATATTTTCAGTTTGTGGGCCCTTGGGTCTCAGATGCAGCTGCTGACCCGGATGGTCGAATCAGAGATGCGGCCGTAGACATTGTGTGAATGACAGGTGTGGCTGGGTTCCCAAAAGCTTGACTCACAAAGGGCTGGGGTGTGGGTGCGGCCCACACGTCATGGCGTGCTGACCCCCTTCGTGGCGGGAAGCGTGTGTAAGCCCGGGGTTTCTTGTTGGGTAGACGTGACACCTGGAGCAGAAGGCAGCTGAACCTGCCTCTGTCTCTGCCGGTGGGGGTGGCAGTGTCGGTGACACTGGATGAGCTGATGCAGTGACAGGCCAGCTCCATGCCTGGGTGGGGCGTACACTCAGTAGGTGTGGACTCTGAATACATATTGTAACTGAAGCACATGTTTCAGTTTTTAGCTAAGTAAGTGTTTTTGGTCCCGATTGATTCCTGGGTCACAAGGTATGAACATGTCTTACAACAGTCTTCCTGTAAACGGACCTCAGGCGCCGTGTAGCCGGCTGCTGGCTCTGTGGTTCCTGAGTGGGGATTGGCCTCCTGGCCCTTTCTTCACACCCAGTCGTGTCAGAAGCCCCACCTGGCCGGGGTTCTCCGGCGGCTTCCGGGGAGCCCGAGGCCGAGGGAGTGTAGTGACCGCCTGCACAGGGCATGGGCGGGGTGCCCCCGGGAATTAGAAGCCCTGCACCAATTTGCATATTAAGGGTGTTTAAGGAAGGAGCACCCTGCAGACCCTCCCCCAGGGGCAAGTCTGACATGCATCGTCGCGGGCGTCTAACACTCTGTCTCTGCGTCTTGTCCCAGTCGGCCGTCGGCCATGAATACCAGTCCAGCCTTTCCAAGCACTGCTCGCAGGTCGACTCTGTCCGTGGCTTCGGAGGCAAGTTCGGTGTCCAGCTGGATAGAGTTGACCAGGTGAGTGATGCACCCTGGGGACCGGCAAGGGGACCACTCCCTCTAGCTCAGAGCTGGCTGCCTGCCTCAGTGTGCTGCCCGAGTGTCCTCTGGGCCTCAAGGGAACGCGAAGGTGTCCCTGCCTCAGATGCTCTGAGGTGACCAGGCTAAGATGCGAGGACAGGAAAGCAGAAAGGCCCTTCTCGCTGTTTGCTGCAGAATCCCCGTGTCGGTATCTGCTTATCGGATGGACTAGGGATGGTTTAGATGTGCCCAGGAATGTGCCAGCGGGGACCATTTCCGTCCACCCTCCCTGTATGGGTGTCACTGTGACGGGAAGGGTCAGAGCCCATAGGGCAGAATGTGACGCACACGCCATTTCCAGCACTGCACTTAGCGCCCAGATGCTGTCTGGTGACTGGCCCTCGGCCTGGTCTCAGGCTGACTCAGTCGAGAGCCTGGGTTTGGAGCCAGACTTCATCCTGCGTTCTGGCCTGGCTACCTGCTGGCCGTGAGTCACACTTCCCTGTCTGTAAAAGGGGATGACAGTGCCCGTCTCCTGGGTCTGTGCTTGAGGACACCCCAGCGCACCTGGTCTGCCAGTGTCATCTGAAAAGCGAGTGTGTGTGTGGCCGTGGGGGATCGTCCTGGAGGGTGGGGGTAGCTGAGATCTGTGAGCAGAACTTGCACAGGCCGGTAGGGACGCTGCTTGGCCTGGGCAGCCCCAGGCTTTGTGGGAGGGGGTGTGGGCTCCAAACGCCAGCGCTCTTGGTGTTCATTAGACCTGCACCTGGCTCAGGAAATCAAAGTAAAAAAGATAACATGGTCCGTGTCTTTAAAAATTGCATCTGTGTTGTGGATTCGGAGTAACTGTTTTGGAGGTGTTTAAAAATACATTTCCCTTATCTTGTCCCCGCAGTCTGCTGTAGGCTTTGAGTACCAGGGGAAAACAGAGAAGCACGCCTCCCAGAAAGGTAAGATGCGCAGCAGGCAGCCGGTGACGGGGCCGGGGCACCGAGGACTCTGCCCCTCCTTAAGTGTCTGGGTCAGCGGTTCTCAACCTGTGGGTCACGACCCTTTTGGGGGCTGAACGACCTTTTCACAGGGGTCGCCTAAGACCATCGGAAAACAAAAAGATGTTTACATTACAATTCATAACAATAGCAAAATGACAGTTATAGAGTAGCAACAAAAATAATTTTATGGTCGGGGGTCACCACAACGTGAGGAACCTGTATTAAGGGGTCGCAGCATTAGGAAGGTTGAGAACCGCTGGTCTGGGTCATCTGGTAATGTGACAGTGCATTCCTGTCACACTCGCGAAGCCCTGGCCTCTGCTGTCATTGTGCCTCTGATGTGGCAGCAGAGGCTGCTTTCCCTTTGTCCGAGCCGCATCCCCTCCGAAAAGCTCACGCTCTGACTTAGTTGGCGAAAAGCTAATGCTCCCCAGGGTAGAAAGCAGGGCTGTGACGTCCCCCTGGTCTTGACACGGTGTTGGCTGACCTTTGTTAGGTCACACTGGTCTCAGAAAGCCATTTTTGAAAATGCAAGAATATTCCTTCCTCAAAGCACTTGAGGCGTTTTTGCAATTTCCTTTACTCCTGACACCGGGGTGTCATCACGTGACTCAGGGACACTCCCACCGCATCCGTCTGGCCGGCATGGATGTGGGAGGCGTGGCGCCTTTTCTGGAAAGCGTCCCTCGCAGCGTAGCTTTCTTGACATACTGACCTTTATTCAAATGGTGTTCCCCAAGTGGGAGTGCAGCTTCATCCTGCTGTCATGACAGAAGTGCCCTCTAACTGCCTGGTGTCCCGTGTCACTCGTGTGTGACAGTGGGTGGGTTCTCGTGTGTCTTAACCTGTGTGCCTCTTGGTGAGTTGCATGCCGACTTAGTTTCACCAAAGCCACAGCGTTTCTGTCATCGGGCCCACTCACCACCTGCTGCTGTCCCTGCAGACTACTCGAGTGGCTTCGGCGGCAAGTACGGCGTGCAGGCCGACCGGGTGGACAAGAGCGCCGTGGGCTTCGACTACCAGGGCAAGACCGAGAAGCACGAGTCGCAGAGAGGTGGGTCCGCGCGGCTCCCCGGCTCCGTGGGTGCCCCTTCCCGTCATGTCACTCATCCTGACATAAACACCCAGGAATTTGTCCTGCGGTACAGAACGGGTTACACTCCATGTACACTTAATCTTAAGGTTTTTGGACTTCAGATGTTTGGACGCCCGTGTTCTTTTCGGGTCATCGTCACGGGTTTGTCATTTTTAATGATGGCGCTGTCTTCCATTGTGACGACTGTGTAATCTATTGGACCATTCCTCTTTTGAATGTAGGATTTAGCTTATTTCCCGTTTTTTGATAATTTCAAGTGCAGAGGATGTTCTTGTACCTGTTTCTTACATACATAAGTGAGTATTCAAACGAACACATTCCTAGAAATGGCATTGCTGAGTCCAAAGACACTGGGTTGAAAATGTCCCTAGAGCTGTCCCTAGAGCCTTGCCCACGTTCCCCTTCACCGTCCCGGCCCCTGGGAGGGAGTGTCATGGAGGAGGTCTGAAAGATCCATTGCCCCCTGCAGAGGTCACATTCCTTGGTCCTTTGCTGTGTTTGTTTTGTTGGCCTGCATGTTTAAATTTTAAAAAATAATCGCCAACATTTAAAAATAGAGCTCACATATTAGAAGAACCCAGATTTCTTTGAAAACAAACACACACCAGCACTGGAAACACTGCTCTCTTGGCATTTCCCCTGGAAGGTTTGGTGGCCCCAGGGGCCGCTCAGCCTGATTTTCCGCGGGTGTCATGCCGGCACAACAGCGCGGCCCCTTTCTTGGCACTTGGTTTGCAGCGTCCACCTGCCGTGCGGGGTTACTTTAAATCCTGCCTGCTCCCTCCTCGCTGGCTTCACCGGCTTTACTGGAACCGTGCTCCTTTGCCCAGTATCCACACACTAGTGAGGACCCGGTGTCCATCCTGGTCCCCATGAGCCCTGGAAGAAGAGGGGTGCTGCGTCTGGGGAGCCCGGAGCCCAGCTAGCGTGGTGGGGCACCCTCAGGCCCCTCCGCGGCCCCAGGCCCTCTGGAAAGGGATTTGACCTTCGCATCCTGTCCATTAATGCATCCACACTTTAGTGTCCAGGAACCGTTTAAATGACAACCCTGAGCAGAACTGATGTTTCTGGAAGATGCTTCATGTCGCTCTTGTTTCTTTGAAGGTGATCCCGGGCGGGCACAGCTCTGCTCGCTTTCGTTCAGGAGGCACCGTGACCTGTCCTGACCTCAGAGGCTTCCTCATAAACCAGTATTTTGTGCCGTCTTTAGGGAGAATGGGCGCTGCAGTTATTAACCTGCCGTAGTTACTGCTGTCGTGTTTCTGTTGTTACACATAAGTAGTACCTTTAAGGATTTCCATATTGCTCAGTGACCTTAGAGTGAGCCTAAGAGATTTCTGTTTTGTTTCGTTCAGCTGAGCGATAAACGTTCCAAGACCGTGCATGCTTCTTGGTTCCGTGGATGGTGTGTAAACAGTGCTTTCTTGTTTTTAGATTACTCCAAAGGCTTTGGTGGCAAGTATGGCATCGACAAGGACAAGGTGGACAAAAGCGCCGTCGGCTTTGAGTATCAAGGCAAAACGGAGAAGCACGAGTCCCAGAAAGGTGGCTGCAGTTTAAGCTTCCTCTCCAGCTGGCAGCCGTTAGCGAGATAGGTGGTAACCAGAGCGGAAACGGAGACCAGAGCTCCCCAGCGGCCCGGAGTGGATGTCTCGCTTTAATTAAATACTCACTTTAAAGCAGCACATCCCAAAACACAGCTGTTAAATAAGAAATCAAATCCTCACACTTTTTGGGGGGATCTAACACACCAGGAGTGTCTGTCACTTGTGGTGACGGCCTTGGGCCGCACGTCTGTGTCTGTTAATGGTGACACCGCAGTGGCTCATTAGTGCTGTTTCAAGCCACATGCCATGGAGCGTCTGATGTGAGGCCCCATCTGTGTTTCCTCACAACATAGATTATAGGTTAGAGTTTCTCCCAGACACTCTACAGGATGTCCTCTTAATGTCACCCAAAGTTTCACCAAAGATCTGGGAGAGAGAGGACGCAGTTAGCCAGTTGTTCGTATTCCCTGCATTGAAAACCTGCTTTCTGCCTGTTACCCACGCGGCCCGTTAACGCTGGATCATGGCCTTGTCTCGTCCGTGTAGACTACGTGAAAGGGTTTGGAGGGAAGTTCGGTGTGCAGACAGACAGACAAGACAAGTGTGCCCTGGGCTGGGATCACCAGGAGAAGCTGCAGCTGCACGACTCGCAGAAAGGTACGTCCATGTCCACGCTCGTTCTTGGGGTCCTTTCAGAGGTTGGCTGATTGTCAGTCACAGGTCCGTTGAGATGCCGTGTTCTCGCTGTATTTCTGTGGCAGTGTTGTTCTGTCGTCACTGTTTGGGGTTGTCCTGTGCCTCCCACAGTTTTGAGAAAACCCTTCAGCCAGTGTAGGATTAACCGTCCTCTCCCATGTGGGAGGTCTGCTGGTGGACAGGCGGTGTGGTCACCTGCTTACGAAGCCAGTCACCACCAGTGGCATCCTGGGAGTGCTGTTTCCTGCCCTTGCGGTGCAGCCAAAGGGGCGACAGGGTCCCCAGCCCGTGAACTCCTGTTGATAAATGTGCTGTAATTTGTGAAAGGAGATACTTCCTTTCTACCCGGAAGTGCTTGCTGAGCATAATGGAACCCTGTCCCTGGGAGGGAAGGCCTCGAGGGTGACCCAGACGGAACCCCCACCCTTCAGCCAGCCCAGTCAGGAGTGGGGCTAATTTCGCTGCCGTGTAAGACTGTGTGTAACGTGTCTCTTCACCTGCACAGACGCGTTCTCTTGTCTGCGGCGTGGTAGGGCCCTAGAAAGACCTCGAACGTGGAGTGGCTTTAACTGAATCGTTTCAAATACAGATCTGGTCTGAAGTGTTCAGATCTTAAGTGTTCAGCTTCTTCTGTAACCTTTGCGCCCACGTTGGACCGTGACCTTGGGAACTGGCTCTTCAGCCCCGAGCGCGGGGAGCCCCTGCTTTTTCCAAACCGTGTATTTGATTCTCGCATGAGCTCATGCGATTCTAACCAAACTGTGTTTCCTCTCTCGGTGTTTTCTCTGCTGTTGCTTGTGGATTTTCAGATTATAAGACTGGTTTCGGAGGCAGATTTGGTGTTCAGTCCGAGAGGCAGGATTCCTGTGCTGTGGGGTTTGATTACAAGGAGAGACTGGCCAAGCACGAGTCCCAGCAAGGCACAGTTGCTCACTAGCCTCTCACCCCCGCGTCCCGCCCCCGGCAGTGCAGCCACTTCCAGCACAGACTTCAGGGCTCAGCCTCCCGAGCCACCCACTGTCCCTTGGTGGGGCATGTGGGCATTTAGGCCTGGTTTTATGTTGGAGCGATATTAACTTGCACCCTTCTGCCCCCATTCTCCCTGTAACCTTTGGGATCTGGGTTTGGTGAAACATGATTGTAGTTTATAGGTTATGTCAGTCCAAACCCATGTGACTAGTTTCTGGAATGGGCGTCTGGTCCCCCAGCAGCCTCCTGCAGGAGTTCTTGCTGTTGACAGTGACTTGTGAATAGCTGACGAGGCCACCTCTTGCCTCCGAGACGAGGAGAAACGTTTGGCTCACCCACACCCCTGGCTCCCACCGCAGGCTTGGTGGCAGCGTGTTCTGTGTGGTTTCTGTGTGTCATTGTGGTGGCGTTTTTTTGGGCTCGTAGTGCAAGGTGTTTCTGTTTTTTTGTTTGTTTTGTTTTTGGATGACACCGTCTATGTATAAGTTCACACAGAGCCAAACAGTATGAACACAACCTGAAAGAGACAGAAGTTTCCAAGTCTATATATTGGTTGTCCGAATGGCAAACACATTTTTCCTTAGAGCAGTTATTTAATTACCTTCAAATTTTGGACACGGGTTTTAGAACCTGGACATGTGACGGGAAAACGAGTACAGGGCAGAGTTCAGGCTTTCAGTCCCAGTGTCAGAGACACGTGATGCGTTCAGCGGGAGAAGGGGACCACATGGCAATGGCCTTGACCCCACGTGGTGTTGATACTGCATCACAGCGACCGTCACGTCCATCTGTGTTGCTACCACAAAAGTATTTGGCTGGTAGAATTTCTCCACAGAACGTTTTTTTTCAAAAAGCCAGAGAAAGCCTGGGTTGAGCCCCCTTCAGTGCTCCGCAGAGCCGGAGGGCAGGGTGGGCGGGCAGGGCCGGGGCTGGGGGAAGACTGTGCTAGGAAGTGGCTCGCTGCCGGCCCTCCACATCCCCTCGGCCCACGCTGCCCCCGAGATGCGGGAAGCATGCACACGCCTCTTCTGCCTCTCGCTGCCTGCGGGCTGCGGGGAGAAACGAAACACAGTGCAAGCCCTGCAAACACATAATGGCGTTTGGGGCTTGTCGTTTCTTCTGGCTCTGGGGCCATCTTCGGGGCTGTTTCTGGACCCGGGTGCATGCGTCCTCCGTCGGCGCCGCACTTGCCCTCGACCTGAGACTAAGTGTTGTGTTTGCCACCTTCCAGACTACGCCCGAGGATTCGGCGGGAAGTACGGGGTGCAGAAGGATCGCATGGACAAGGTAGGCATTCGGACCTGGGGCTTGCTGTCTTCTGCCCGTGTGCTTCCGGGAAGCGGGCAGCTCTGGGTGTCAGCGCGCTGTTCCGTGGATGGTCCCAGGTGGGCGCCTGGCTCATGATCAGAAGTGCAGACGTTTACATCAGGCATGTGTCAGCACCATGGTGGTGAGGTAGCTAATACGTGTGCCAGGCCTCGGCTGGTGTGTCCTGGGCCTCCTGTGAGGCAGATACGGTCTCTGTCACATTTCGTAGTCAGGAGGCCCAGTGGTGAGAGGCTGGGCCACCATTGCAACCCTGGCACGTAGGCTGGAGAGCCAACATGAGAGCCTCTAGGATCTGGGGCTGTTTGAATTCAAAGTAATTAGCAGTAAACCACGTTGGAAAGTGAGTTCCTTGGTCACACTGACCACGTTAGAAGAGCTTAGTACCACACGCAACGGTGGATGTCACCTGGGAGCGGGCAGACCTGGGACATCTGTGTCCTTGGACCGCGTCCACCTGGAAGCCGGGTCCTAACCCCTGGGCTGCCTCTTGCAGCTGCTCTGCGGAAACACTCCTTGTCCTCATCAGGGACTCCTGCTGGACTTGTCACTTCTGACTGGCTCTAGTGCCCCAGTGGGTCGGTCTCGAGCACGTCAGATGATTGTTCTAGACTCCAGTGCAGCCATGTCTGAGTATCAGACTTGGGAACGGGTGTGGCTTCCATCTCCTGTCAGTTCAGCAGAGCGGAGACTCAGGCCACCCTGCGCAGTCCTCTGCCTGGCCCAAGGTGATGGACAGCAGAGCTGGGACTCCCCCACGTGACCATGTGTGGGCCCCGGGAGCAGGTGGCAGGGCACGGGGCTCCTGCTGAGGGGCTGGAAAGGTCCTCAGGAAGTGAGTGCGAGTTCAGTTTTGCGGGGTGGGCGGGCGATTGCCAGGGAAGATGGGGCCTGGAGGCTGGGAGCAGAGGCACACGGTGGGACGAGGGTCACCACAGATAGGAAGACCTAAGAGAAACTCGTTGGGGGTGCGCTGCCGAGCCCGGTAGGGGCTGAGGGGCTGCTAGGGACCCACCCCCGGAGCCTGCAGACCCTGTGAGGTTGCTGCTTCATTAGACAAGCTCTGAGTGGCCCTGGAAAGGTTTCATAGCAAGTGACATGACTGGGACCCGATTTAGAAGCCCTGGCTGTAGTGTGGAAGTGGATTGGGGGAGGGCGGAGCCGTGAGGCCGTGGCCCCAGCTGGAAGGTGGCCTCTGTGGTTTGTGGGGTGCGGTGATGGCTCAGGCCGGGGATGGGGCAGTGGGAGCGAAGCACTGTCTTCAGCGGTGTGGGTGGTGTGGCCGGAGGGTGCTATGGGGTGAAGGGGAGAAAGGCAGGAGCTCCGCAGGGGGACAGTGGGGCCATTGCCGTGCTCTCAGGAGGAGCCGGCGAGGGTGCGGCGAGGTTGGGCTGCTGGTCGGGCGGGTAGATGAGGACAGACAGCCAGGTAGGTGTGTGTGTACAGGTGTGTGTGTACAGGTGTGGAGCGGAGGCCGCTGGGACACCGGGGGAGCCTGAGGAGTGGTGACGGGCCCAGGGCCGTGCCTGCAGGGTGGCCGCGGTCAGGCTGGTGGGAGGGGACTGGGAAGGGTGGTGCCCAGTGAGATGGGGGTGCCCACGGGTCCGGTGATGCTGGTCTGAGGGGCGAGAGTTTCAGGGAGGAGGGAGGAGAGGGGTCACCCGCGCACAGCGGTGCTGCGGATGGGCTGATGTCTGGGCAAGCGACGCGGCGGCCCCTCGAGTCCTGGAGAGGGGCTTAAGGGGGAGCTTGGAGGGGGCTGGCTGACGGGTCCGGGCCATGTGGGGAGGGGAGCCACGGAGTCAGCCGGTTCCGGCCCACTTCACCCCGTGGTCTGGGTGAGCTGGGCCGTGGTCGCTCGAAAGGATGGCGCTGTTTTAAGATGGGAGATGCCAGAGCGTCTCGGGGATGTGTAGGGGGGCCCCGGGGGAACGTGGGGAGCGTGGGGTCCCTGGGAGGTGGCCTCGGGCAGGAGGTTGAGGAGCCTGGTGTGGTGGTGATTGTGGTTCCTATTAATGACGATGGCAGTGAGCCATCTACCTGTGGGCGGAAAGTGGGTCACAGGGCGTGAAGAGGAGAGACCACGCCCCCTGACCCGCCTCCCCTGTCTCGGTAGAATGCTTCCACTTTTGAGGACGTCACCAAGGTGTCCTCCACTTACCAGAAGACAGTCCCTGTCGAAGCAGGTAGGTCCTAGCAGACACCCAGCAGCACTGCGGTTTCCCAGGAAGAAATTCCGTGCTGGGCGGGGCTCCTGGGGAAACGCTGAGGCCAGGAGGGTCCTTGGCAGATGGGAGCCGGGAGAGAGGCAGCCCTGATGGGAGTGTGTCTTTGGGAAAGCCTTGGTGGCCCTTCTGATGGCAGGTCCCACGGAGGGTCAGGGCACCTTCCAGACGCAGCGTGTGGCAGCTCCCTGGCCAACATGGCTTATGGCTGTTGTACTTTACTGGGTTAGAATGTAAACAGAAGACATTAAAGTTTTATTAATTCACTCGAAAATGATGAAACCATCACGTATTAATTTCTATAAGGAAATAACTACATTTTCAAAACAACATGCAGGATGGTGGCACCATTTTGCATTTCTGTAAATGCCCTTCATACAAGACAGTTGGATTCTCACAGCTGCTGTTGCTGTGACGAATCAGGTTGTTCAGGAAGAAAGTGTGGACTCGCACAGATCTGCAATTGGGAGAGAGAAGGGTGTTGCCGTAGCCACCTTGGGTCCTGTGGGCGCTCTCCTCTGAGGCCCCCCAGGCAGTGCCTGAGTGGGGGCCCCCTCACAGTGGTTTGTAACTCGTACTGGTCATTTGGAAAGTACTGGATCACTGACTTCTGCGATCTCCCAAATGGTGAATTTCATTTCATTATACAGTATCCTAAAAACTCCATTCATAAATATTGCCATCAATCGTATCAGAAAGTCTTTCAGTAAAATTGGGACATTGCCATGCTCGTGGGGGCAGGTCCGAGTTTTCCAGCGTTCTGATGGGACTGGAGAGCTGACTTGTCCCATTGACAGCAGTTACCGCGGTGGCTTTTCTGTTTGTTTGTTTTGGAAAAGATGCCTGCCACAGACCCAAGCAGGCATGAGTCCTTGAGTTCAACTTGCAGCTCAGACAGTCCCCAGGTTTTTCCTGTGATGAGTGCTTAGCGTCCCCGTGCAGCAGCAGTGGTGTGTGCGGGCTCCCAGTTGTCACTGTAAACACCCAGAGCTGTGTGCTCCAGTGCTGAGATTCAGTCCGCATCAGTGCTTTCTGCTGTTTTATCAAGGGCATCCCTGTGGGAAGTTGGGTTTCTTTCCTGTGTGTGTGGTGGGGAAGAATACAGCGATGTTTGGAATATAAAGTGCCCCAAAAATGAGGCTCGTGATGTTCATCCATCACCCCGACTGCAGTGGACAGAGGCACAGGGCTGGTTCGCAGTGGCCGGGCCGGCAGTGCGGGACTTGTTCCCATGAGTGGTCACCCCTGTGAATCCAGGGAGACGGTGGTGTTGATGTCATGCGGAAATCTCCCCTCCCCTCTAGTCAACAGCAAAACCAGCAACATCAGAGCTAACTTTGAAAACCTCGCAAAGGAGAAAGAACAAGAGGACAGGCGGAAGGCGGAAGCAGAGAGGGCACAGCGGATGGCGACGGAGCGACGGGAGCAGGAGGAGGCCCGCAGGCAGCTGGAGGTGAGCGGGGGCTGGCGCCGCGGGGCCCCTCCTGCGCGTGCGTGCCTGCATGCCTTGGGCCTCGCATTCGGCTCGTCCTGCCTCCTGGTCTGGAGGGTTTCACTAGGAATCGCTTCGCAGTCCCGCTTAAGGCTGCACACTTAGGAACTTGAACTTTCAGCCGCATGTAGCCAGTCTTTGGACCACCACATACTAGACAGCTGCGCTTGCTAATTCTGAGCGCAGCGACCTGCGAGCCTCTCCCAGCTGTCGGCCTTCATGTCTGGAGTTCTCTGTTGCCCTCTCCCTGCACTGAGCTCCCGTCCCAACGTTCCCCAGCAGCCCCTGCCCTTCCCCGTCTCCCTGCAGTCCGCCCTCTTCCCAGGAGGAGGTCGAGGACAGAGAGCGGTCCCCGTGAGAAGCCGAGCGTCTCCTTTGCAGCCCTGGCTCCTGCCGCCTGGTCCGCTGTGTTTCGTGGGCTCCGTAGTTTGTCCACTAGAGAGAGGGTGGGAGCAGAGCAGGTGCGCAGGAGGGTGTGGACTTGGTCCTTCTGGATCTCCCCCGGTGGACCAGTGGCTGATGGCCCAGGTTCTCAGGCTCACCTCCTAACTGGGCGGCCACTAACAGTGGCAGGTCCGCTCCCTGACCCGTAAAGTGCGGGTGGAAACACTCCCACGACTCTTGCTGGGGTGGTTAGGACGCAGAATCTGAAATAACGCACATGCAGCTGTTTGGAAAACTGGAAAATCCTACTTAACCCAGTGGACATCTCCTCCCTAGATCAGTGGCCTGGCCTCTGAAAAGCCCATCGAGGGAGAACGGAGGGTTGAGAAAACTGCCACGCAGCAGGCAGGAAGTGAATGAAATAAGCCCTGATGTGCACTCCCGTGCTGCCTAACCACGGGGACGCGCTCTGAGAAATGTGCTGTGGGCGATTCTGGCGTGCGAGTATCAGAGGGCGCGCGCAAGCACCCCGATGGTAGCCTGCCGAACCCCTGGGCTGCGTGGCACACCAGCCGTCTGTGGTCCGGCTCGTGACTTTTGTCACACGCACTGAAGCTGGAATAATAGATTTGTATAGTTACCATTTACCATTCCTTAAATTGTTAGAAACATTTAAAGATCTCTCTCCTTCACAGTCTTCAGTGAGATGTTTGTTGGTTTTTCTTTGTTGTTCAGCACACAGATAGACACACGTAAGGCATCTTTTCCTGAAACCCTGGTCGCCTTTGTGAATAATGAATGCCTTCCTCATTTTATGCCTTAGAATTTTAACCCCTGCCCCGCAAGTCCCGTCAGCATCCAAAAGATGCAAAAGGACTGGGCTGCTGGAGAAGAAAAAGGCTCAGGTCACTGTTACCCAGCCCCGTGCCTTTCGCGCGCCTCTTGCTGTCCCTTCTGCTGTGCTGTTTCCAGCCCCCGTCACCCCTGTCACCAGCTTCTCCCCGTCAGCACAGCACGGCTTGCCCAGGACCCTCTTGGTTGTGGGAAGAGGCTCCAAAAGTAGGAGTGCCAACGGCCGCCTCCGAGTGGCCCTGGCAGGTGGGGACACCAACGTGGGCCACGTGGACGTGACTCAGTCTCGGGAGCCTGGCCCCCGGAGAGGAATTTCTCTGTACCAGTGGATTTGAGAGGGGCTGTCACAGACCCGTGTCCAGGCGACACAGGTGTAAACCGGCAGCCTCTCTGAAGCCCACGCTTCGCCCAGCCCCCCTGCCCAGCCCCTTCAGAAAAACACTCTCCTGCCGCCCGTGTTGAACCCTGATGGTTCCTCTGAGTCATGTTGGATTTGTGACAGCTGGTGGTGCCGGTCAGGCAGAGCTACCCGGGTCGAGACTGGACTGAAATCAGGAGCCCGACGGTTTTCTTTACAAGTCAGCACTTCCGTCATCCCCGTTCCCGAGGCAGCCTGGCTGAGGGTCCCGCTTCTGCCGTTCCCTCGTGTGTGTCCCGGGCGTGCCACTCACTCACTGTTCTCGCACCTGTTTCCTCAGCTGTAACATGGAGGAAAAACCCAGCCTCCGGGCCGCCAGCACTGGGTCCTGTGGCTGCGGCGTCCCATGATCACAACTTAGTGGCTTAAAACGACACGCAGTTCTGACAGGTGTCGGGTTCCCACTGGGGGCTCCAGGGGACAGTCCGTTCCTGCCTTCCCGGCCACTAGAGGTGTCCCCAGCCCTTGCTGTGACCCCTCCAGCCTTTGCTTTGGTCAGCACATTTCCTGATCTTCACTTCTTGTCGGCGTTCCCTTTGCCACGTGAGGTCACATACAGGGTCTGGGATTGGGACGTCGATGTCTTTGAGGGGCCATTACTCTGTCTACCACAGTCTGCTTCTGGCCCCCAAAGGTCCATGTCCATCCTACATGCAAAATACATTCACCCCGTTTTAAGGTCCCCAAAGTCTCAGTCCATTACAGCATCAACTCAAGGCCCCAGGTGTCATCCTCTAAATCAGCTTAGCAGGAATGGGGGTCCACGGAGCCACAGCTTGGTGTCAGTACGCTTGCCTTCCTGACGGAGTTACATAAATCTCTTTACATGGTGGCGGCAGGAGGCCTGAGGGCCACCGAGGTCCTGTTTGTTGACAGTGCCTGGCTGGCTGCGTGACTTTGATGCAAAGCACACCCCCAGTGCTTCAGCTCCGTGCGGGGGCTTCCTGCTCTTCCCTCGGGCAGAGAGTGTGCGCTGAGCTTGGTGCGCCCGTTTCTGGCACGCGCCTGGTGATCCCAGGTGGCCTGGCGGCGTTCTGACGGCTGCTTGCCTTTCAGTTACAGGAGCAAGCCAGAGCCCAGAAGCAAACGCCGCCCGCGTCCCCCACTCCACAGCCGGTCCAGGAGAGGCCGCCTTCCAGCCCCATCTATGAGGTTGGTGTCGCCATTCTGACTCTGCAAAGACACCCTTTCTAGCTCGTGCCACCATGGACAGAGTTATCCCCTCCACTGCTCGGCTGGGTGCCCGTCCCGAGAGGGCGGCCTGGACAATGGCCCTCGGTGCTGGGGAGCACACGGCACGCCTCACCTTCTGCAGCCCCCAGCTGGGCCCCATTCCCCAGCTGCTGTCCCCCAGTGAGGTCTCCTGATGTCACGTGGTCACGATTTCTGGTCTCACTTCCTCTCTGCTGCTGTGACACTGACCACACTCCCTTCTAGAATCCACATCCCCAGCACCGAGCTGCCACTCTCCCACGAGACCTCACTTCACTGGCCGCCCCTCTAGCTCCCTTGTCTCCCTCAGCCCCGAGACTGTCCTCGGCCCTTTCTCCTCACACCCGCCATCAGGGCCTTGTGACCAACGGCCTCTGTCCCCAGGACCTGCTGACACGTTCCCCCGCGTGCTCCCCTGATCTCTGACCAGCTGCCTGTCTGCCTCCCTCCACTTTGGGTCTCTGGCCTCCTGCATGGGCTGCGTGTGCCTCTGCCTCTCCCAGGAGCCCCTCTGCCACCACCATCCATGGCCATTGCCCGGTCCAGACCTGAATCCCGTCCCCTCTGTGTCCCCGCAGTCACTGTCCTGGTTCACACACCTGTCTTCTTTCACCTGGATGTCATCCCTCAGAGGTCATTGAGTCACAAGGGACGAAAACTAAGCTCATGAGGCATAAAGGGGACAAGGATCGTGGAGAGCTGTGGGCCTGGGGGTGGGGGACCGTGGTCTCCTCACCACTAGGGGCCTCTCCTTGAGCTGCTGCTTCCTCTGCATGACAGCTGTGCCCTCCGGACTCCTGGGCAGGTGTGGGCGTGGCCGCGTAGCTCTAGTCCAGTGGAAAGGGGGCCTTGAGCCATCCGTCCTCGCCATGTCCCACTGCAGGGCCAGTCACTGAGAAGTTGTTCCTTTGAGAGGCCAGGATGGCATGCTGTCCCCAGCGTGGAGGGGAGTGGGTTCTGCAGTCGGCAGCCCTGGCGGTCATGTGATGTGGGAGGGCGGGGCGCTGTTGCCAGAAGACAGAGTAGGGCGACGCCCCCACACCAGGACCCGCCTCACCTCCAGTCCCTCTCCATGCAGGGGAAGCTTGCCTAAAGGACGCTCGGGGCTTGTCACTTCCTAGCAGTTTAACCGTTTGGTGGCCCGGAGGTGGCATCCCCTCTCTGGCCTCCATCAGAAGCCACTGCCTGACACTGGCTCTTACTGGGGCCTCTCCATGTAGGCCTTGCTTGCTGTGACCCACCGGGGTGCCTTCAGGTGGACTCTGGTCAGAAACACTGCATAAGCCTCCAGTGATGCTAAATCGTTCAGAACTTTCATTAGGGCCCAGAAGTCACAGGAGTGTGGTCAGTGGTGCGATTTCCTCTGAGTGTCTGCATGTGCAGGTGGCTCCTTGGTCACACCCTTCACCTGAGGGTTCTGTTAGGACACACCCGCTGTCCGTGGGCTGGGCTGCTCTGGGCACTGTAATGGCTGACGCCCTGAAGCCACTGGGAGAGATGTGGAGGGCTGGCCGGCCCTCCGGTGCTCTGGGCGGCCTGGAGGGCTGGGGCCTAGAAAAGGCCAACTGTGATACAGGCATCGGTTCTGGGCAGGCGTGTGGGCTGAGTTACTGCAGGACTTCGGGGTGTGGGGGTGTGAGGAGCGAGTTTTCAGGAGAAAGTGGCACGTGGTCCTCCCGACAGTGCTGTACCACGGTTAGAATCGGAGCCTTCCCCAGATGTCAGCTGCTAATGCCTCCTTAGCCTGTTTCCTCAGTCCCGCCTGGGACTAAGAAGCGGCTTGTGTGTCAGAGACCCAGCTCAGGTCACGTGACATGTCTCGCCGACTCTTCCCCAGGACGCGGTCCCGTTCAAGGCTGAGGCCGGCAGCAGAGGCCCCGTGAGCGAGCCTGAGCCTGTGTACAGCCGGGGGGCCGCCGACTACCAGGAGGCCGGCAGCCAGCAGGGCCTGGCCTATTCCCCTGAGGCCGTCTACGAAACGACAGAGGCCCCCGGCCACTACCAAGGAGGTAGGGGGTCTCCTGCGTCGGTCCCGGGGGAGGGGTGCCCGTTAAGTTCTGCTCTGCATCTGATCTGTGAACATTGTCTCACATCCCTGTTGACTAACCTGCCCCCCTAGACCCCAGGAGACTTGGTACAGCCTCCTGTGGGGGTTCCAGGAAGCTCCCTGCTTGTGCCGGGGGCGCCGGGCAGGGGTGGGAGGAAGGGGCTTCTGCTGTAGAGCATCTTCTGGAGCGGAGAGCCCCGCTCCAGGCAGCCCGAGTATCCTGGGGTCCTCAGAGATGGTTTCCGTACCCTCTGAAATCCTCAGATGTTCTAATTGGGTGAACACGAAACTCGGTCTCTTATTTTTAAAGGTGAGGTTTCCTGCAGTGCGTTCAGCCAGACGTCACCAGGCCCCCACCCACAGGGAGTAACAGGACGGTGTCAGCAGGGCCTTGACCTTTCCCCAAGTGTGCCTCCTGCTGGCTGTGGGCTTTCCGTGATACACCCTTCCTGAAAGTTGTCGCGATACCCGTCCTGGTGCTCATTGGGGGTGTCACACCTGGAGTCCTGTGGCTAGAAGCTGCCTGATGCCCCACAGCCGATCACCCCCATGGTGCCCGGCGTTCCCAGCCCCTTGGGAAGGGCTCTAACAGAGCGAAGATGGATGCGTCCAACTTTGGTGACCTCTCAGGTCTTGTCTCGGTTTATTTTTAGAGGAGAACACCTACGATGAATATGAAAACGACCTTGGAATCACAGCCATTGCCCTCTATGACTACCAAGCAGGTGAGGGACCCACAGCTGCGGGGGGAGGGGGCTCAGCACCATTGCCCACCTTACGCACGTTTCCCAGTAGCGTGTCTCTTAAGAACCTGACTTAGAGCGTCATTCCAGTTTTAAAAAAACAGCTTATAATTTTTTTTAAAATGTATTTTGAACTAATTTCAGAGTTACAGAAATCCCATCTCCCTCTGTCTCTAGACACACGCAACGCACACCCATTACGTTTGGTCATTTTCTGAACCGTCTGCAGCTACAGTTGCAGGGGTGCCCCATGCTCCCTAAAACCCTAGTGTGAATTCCCCAAAACCAGGGACACCATCCCCTATAAAAGCACACTCCAACCACCAAGTGAGAATGTCACCATTGAAACACCACGTCTACAGACTGGTCACATTTTACCTGCTGTTCCAACACCACCTCTTGTCCTGTTTGGGCCAGTTCCCTGCATTTCCCTGTCACCTCTGGTCCCCTCCACCTGCAGTAGCCCGTAGCCTCCGCCTGTCCTTCATGCCCTCAGCGCCTCTCACTCTGGGGTGACCCACGGCCCGGCTGAGGCCCTGCTGTCATGGCAGGGAGGCCACAGACATGCTTTGTCCTCTGCACCCCACAGCACCCGGGCACACGACACCCGTCCCACACAGTGCTGTTTACTGTCACCTGGTCACTGGTGTCGGCCAAACCGCACTGCACAGTCCCCATTTATCCCTTTGCAGCTGATGAGTCTGTGGTGGCTCCCCCACGTCCTGTCACCTCAGACTTGCAGCCCCATGGACGTCAGCCCTGCTGGGTGGTTCTCCACTCCTGCCTGTCCTCCTGTCTTGGTGGCTGGCACCCCCCCACCGCCATGTATGCACGCGTACATTTATTTATACGTGTGTGGATTCTGGGAGATTTCGGGGTCGACATCGTTTTTCAAACGTCACCAGTTGTCCCGCTCCTCCCATGTCAGCTTTGGCGTCTTCCTCAGCCTCGCAGCTTCTGCCGCGAGATACCTGGCCGTCGGGAGTGGGCACACTCACTTCCCTTCCCTGTCCCGTCCCTGCGCACCGGTGGGTGCCTGCCTCCCGTCCCCCACCAAGGACAAGGCGTCCCCTCCAGATGGGACAGGATGGTGGAAGGAGGCCAGTGGTGCCCTGCATGCCGGTTCCGGCCTGAGCGGGTGGGCTCAGCGCTCGAAGTGTGGGACGGGCTCTGCAGCTGGGTGTGTGGCAGGCCCAGGCCCTCGCCCTGGTCCAGACCGAGTCCACGTCGGAGGCTGCGGCTCCTGGTGGCCCGTGGGCCTCCTGGCAGGACAGTGCACGCTGAATGTCACCGTCATTCTCTGTGCCTCTTCCCTAGCGGGCGATGATGAAATCTCCTTCGACCCTGATGACGTCATCACCAACATCGAGATGATTGATGATGGCTGGTGGCGCGGCCTGTGCAAGGGCAGGTACGGGCTCTTCCCGGCCAACTACGTGGAGCTGCGGCAGTAGGCGGCCCAGCCGCCGCGACCAGTCCTGCTCGCCTGTCGGCCCGTCAGGGCGGGAGGGGAGTGTATGTACTGCTTTTATATTTAATACTCTCGCCGACGCTTTTGAAAACGTTTATGCCACAGAATTTGCTAATATATTGTAATCGTGTTCCTTAGGAGGACTTTGGGAATTGTTTTTATGCGTTTACGGTATTTTTTTTTCTTTGCCAAATTGACTGTCACATGGAGCCACATCAGGGACCCTTAGTTCTCCTGAGTGCGCGCTGGCCTTGTCCCCATGGTCAGCAGGTGGCACCCGTGACAAACTCATGATCTTTCACTTCATCACCTGTCGCTCCAACGATGGCCGTGTGGCTGTTAGGCCCTGGTCACTGTCCCCGGAAGGACGTCCCTCTCGAGTCTCAGTGTTGGGACAAAGAGAGAAGGGCATGACAGTCAGAATTGAGGAAATTGCTAGAAAGTATGCGAGCTTTAAGGTCAGGTGGAAAAGCCTTTCGTACTATGAAATCCCACATACTTGAGTTTAGCATCAACCCCGCGCTTTCTCCCGGGTGTCCCTTCTTGTCGGTCCCTTGCCTCCCTTGACGCCCCAGCCACCCAGGAGCTGCTGAGCCCCTGCCTCTGTCTCTAGGGTCCGGAGGCCTGCACATGGCTGCTGGCGCTCGGACACATGTCTGTTGTGTGGAAAACAGGCCACTTTGCTGCCGGACGCAGGTGCCTTCTCATAAACTGCCAGAAAAGCCTTCCCATCGGGGGAGTCATGCTGTTTTGCCAAAGCATCATGTTGAGGGACAGTAAAACTTGACTGACTTGCTGAAAACAGGAAGCGAGCAGGAGCGGTGCTCTCAGCGTCTGGGACAGTGGCTGGCGAGCGTTTTCTTCCCTGAGGGGCGGTTGTATGTCATCCTTGCTTTCCCATGATTCGGTCGGGTTTATATGCAATCACTGTGTCTAAATTTCTGTAGCACACATCATAGGTATGATTTTTTAAATTAAATATTCAAAATAAACTTTTTGATCCATTGGCTGCTGACCCGCTCTGGCCTTTGGTTGATGAGGAAGATGGCGGCTTTCCTGGCAGCCCCACGCCGCTCGCTGGCCCCCGACTTCCACGGCAGCACCTCCACTCAGCTCTGACCAACTACAGGAGCCCTTTGAAAGCAGCGTGCTCCCTAAAAGGAGATCTCTATAAGGTGGAATGTATTATTCTCGCACGTCGTCAATTTTTTGGACAAGGGTTCCAAGCAGAATAGAAAATGCTCTGTTTAAAATCATTTCTGAATTACCATTCATAAACTAAATCCTCAGGTGGTTGCACTGTAGCCGAAAGCAGTGCTTTCCTTGGGACGCAGGAAAGGAACGTGACGGCAAACAGCAGCTCTGAGCAGGCTCTGGCGGGCCCAGAGGCCTGCGCTCCGGCTCCTGGACCTCCCTGGGCGGACCGCCAGTCGGGGTTAGCCGAGGAGCAGGAAGCAAACACGGGATGTGGGGTGCTGGCGGGGACACCACGGGACTGGCCGAGTGGTCGTCACTTTGAAGCCCCCCAGATGGCGGAGGGGCCAGGTGCTGTCCTCAGACCCGGTGCCCAGTTTCCATGGTGATGGGCAGGCCTCTCCTTGGTGGCTCGTGTGGCAGTGAGAGCTTTGAGGCTTCTGGAGAAGCTGCTCTCACCGTTCCCAGCAGGAATGGGACACGGCAGATCACAGACACTTCAAATGAGCGCGCTCTTCCCTTTACAGGAGCTGGGGGTCACCCACGGCCACCACAGGTAATTATAGGGACAGGCCCACAACCCGAGTCCCGGCTGTGGCCACTTCTCTTCCTGATCTTGTGGGGTCCTTCTTTGTTTTTAAAAAAATTTTTTTTTTTTTTAAACTGGGGAATTGGGGGATGGGAGCAGCGCTGGGGAATTGGGGGAAGGGGAACAGACAAGTTGCTGTCGTTTTGTTCTTCAGTCTAGTTGTGGAGGACGTTGCTTCACTGGCCCAAGTTGGCACCATCACTGCGCTCTTCCCTGGCGAGGCAGATCAGTCGCCGGCTTCTGGATGGCTGCTCACAGTGGCTGCTGTCCGCTCACGCTGGCTGCTGGCCACACATGGTAGCCCATGGCAACCCACTGCCACAGGGGCTGCAGCCTACGCCGTCGCCGGCGACTCACGGCAGCCCAGCTCCAGGTTGAGCTGTTGTTCAGCATCTTAGCTGTGGAGGGCAGTGTCACTGGCCCTCATATGTGGGATCCGAACCGGGGCCCTCTGGCATCCCAAGCCAGCTCTTAACCAACGCGCCACTCGGCCGGCCCTTGTGGGGTCCTTCTTGACACCCTGCTGGCTCTTTCCTGCGGGTCCTCTCCCAGCTCCCAGGGCCCTGTGCCGCCCCTCCCAGGCGAGCTGGGCTCCCTGCTGGGCCTGGCTTTGGCCCTTGCCTGGGGGCTGCCTAGACCCTCAGATAGGCATGGCCGCACACTTCAAGGTAAAGCTGGACTGTCCACAGTTACTCAGCCAGGGTGACAGTGGCACTGTCCCCTTCAAATTCAGGATCAAGTCGGCACTGGCCGTGGCCCATTTGCCCTTGCAGGCCTGCTCCCCACGCGTCCCTGCCTATGCTGAATCTGGTGGGACCTGACTGTTGGCTCCTTGGGCCACCTGGGCTCGCCTACAGCAGCTGGGAGCAGGCTGGGGGCTTGGGTTCCCTGGGCTCATCCCCTGCCTGCCAGGACCCCCCACGAGCCTTCTTGCACCCCACCCCTGGGCCTCTTTAGGCCTGGGGACTACAGACCCCGTGTCCCCTGGACACTGCACCCTTCCAATGTGTCCCTGTGCCCGCTCTGCTTTTCAGGATTCAATCCTGAGTGTTCCCCTGCTCTCCTCCCATGACAAGGGCACATGCCTCACGCTCGAGGTGTGGGGGCCTGACAGGAGGCCCCGTGCCGGGAGCTTGGCATGTCCTGCGCAGTTATGAGGGTGGGGACGCCGGCTCTGAGGAATTGGAGCAGGGAGGTTCCCCACAATGGGGTGGGGTACAGGGTGTGACAGGCGCGAGGACGTGCAGGGAGCCCCTGCTGGCTCAGTGCCCACTGGGGCCCTGCCTGTGAGCACGGTGGGACGAGGGTGTGCCAGGGGCCCAGGAGGGACGGACATGTTTTGGCTGCATCTGTGTGTGCTCCTGACCAAGCATGGCCGGGCGGCCTGTCATCTTGCAGTCACCCTCCCCCTCTTAGTCTTACCCACTTTCCTTTCAGATGGGTGGTTTTAAACTGAAACCCACCACCTCCTGTCTGGAGGTTACGTTGTCCTGGGCCCCTTGGCATGAGGGTGACCCAGGGGCCAGCTGCTTTCTGCTGATGCCCAGAGGGCGCATGTGGCTGTGGCATGTGGCAGGGGCAGCCTCTGGGCAGCTTGGGCGTGTCCTGGAGTGGGGTGTGCCTGGTCGGGGCAGGCACGCTTGGCTCTGGAAGGTCTGCCAGTGCTGCCTGAGCCTGGACGCAGGAAATGAGCGTGTCCACGTGCTTTTATTTCCAGGGCAGATGGGTGCCACATCTGAGGACATGACGGTAGGTGTGACCCCGGAGGCGGGTGGGCAGATCAGGGAGCTCAGCTCAGAAGGAGCCCCGTCCAGCAGGCCCCTGGGACATGCTGCATGGGGCGCACGTGTTTTGGCCCCCGGCACTGCCTGGCTGTTAGAAGGAAAGGAGCCCCCCCTCCTGCTTCGGTGCTCGCAGCAGCCCTTCCTGTGTGACTTTGGAATGTTTTGCCAGGATGCACCTTAATGAGCTGATAGAAAGAACTGTATTTCAACAGTGCATTTTAGGACTTTATACTCATTTTCCTTGAAACACTAGGATGCCCTCATCTTATAATCTCAGGCTGGGTTTTAGGTTCTGCTTTTGTTCTTGTCCCTTTATCCTGTTGGTTATTTATTCTGACCTGTGTGTTCTCCCCTGGGAAGACATACAAGGATTATGACTGTGAAAATGACACATGGAAAAGAACGTAGGCAAATAAAATAGGTTGAATGCTAAGTTTCTGTCCTCCCCACTATCGTAATGTTGCTCATTCAGTTACTGTTGAACGCCATCTGGGAGAATCGTCATTGGTGAGCTGTAAGGAGATTTCCCGCTAACGTAAGCCCCCTCCAGATTTAACGTCTGTTGATACTTTGTGTTACTTAAACTCTCTAGGAAATACCGAAACTCTGCTTCCCGAGTGGGCTGATAACCCTCAGTGGGCAGAACAGTGGCCCCCCGAAGGCCCCCGGAATTAGGGCTGTGTTACCTACATGGTTGCTAACCCACTGGCCTTAAAATAGGGAGACTATTTTGGATTCGCCGAGGGCCCAGTGTCATCCCGAGAGGCCTTAAAGGTGGAGGGGATCGGAGTGATGGGAGTGACAGGACCCACCCACCCTGGCTGGTCCTGCAAGTGGAGGGAGGGGCCGCAGGCCACAGAAGCCAGAAGGGACTGGGGACAGATTCCCTGGGCCACAACATGGAATTTCCCTGTCAAAAGGTCTGCCCTAGCTTACACAGGAGAGCGTGTTTCTTCTCACACTGGCTGAGTTCGAATATTATAAAAATCATAAATCTGACAATCTAATAAGTGAAAATGCATGTTTTTGTTGCTTATGTTTAATTTCATCTCCAGTGATTGGCTCCCTGCCGTCCTCCCTTCGCTCCTTTTTGTCATCTGTTTGTTTCCTGTCTTACAAATGCACGAGTGACACCCTACATACTCACGGTAAAAACTCAAGCAAGGACTTTCAATTGTTTGAAATATTTGGCACTAGACATTATGAAAACGCTCTTGCTAGAAAACACCGAAAATGTTAGATATTGTAACCACCATCTGGTAAGTGTCAAGCTGGGCTTGTCGGGAGGTAAAGAGCGTCTTCAGGGGCCAAACAAGAGGAAGGAAGGAAGACGGCGGAAGTTCCCCCAAGGCCTGGTTACCACGAGGCCCTCCGTTTGCAGTACCTGCGACCTAGAGCCGTGGGGCTTGCTGGGCACGCAGGGCCAGGACACGAGGCTCAGGCCCAGCGCGGCACAGCTGGAACAGGCCCGAGTCAGGTTGGCCCTGAAAGGGACATTGCCTCTGATGGGGGTAACATCTGCCTTTCGGCAAAGCTATCTGACATGTGTGTCCAGTCCTCAGATGTTGGGGTGTGGGGGGGACACAATGGTGATATTTAGTCAAGATTTTGCCTAAAGGAGATTGATAGCAGTGAAAGGCCGTGGAGAGGGCAGGCTTGGGCAGGATCCCCTAAGGAGCATGGAGAGAAGGGGTAGAGGTGAAGCGAGACATTCCCCAGACCAGCCACTGGGTGGTGCTGTCCACGCAGCGCCGCGTGGTTGCCCTCCAGCAGAACCATTTCCTACTACCTCCTTGCCTATGTTTAAGAACCGGCAATGCTGGCATGAAAGAGAGTCTCCGTAACTCCGCAGGCAGCAAACTAGTGGCTGCGGAGGGCCGGGGGCAGGGGCAGTGGAGAGGGACTGCTCATGGGTACAGGGTTTCCTTTTGGGGTGCTGGGAATGTTCTAGACCTTGAGGTGGTGGTTGCACAACACTGAAAGCACTGCCATTGAATTGTCCCGAGAGTCAATGGTTTAGAAAAAGAAGGAGTCTCAATCCTGAGGTTTGTGGGTGGAGGAACAGACAACCTTGGTACCGTGTGAATGGCACGGGTGCCGTGGGCAGCCAGGGGAGGGCAGGTGGGTGGGCAGAGCCAGGAGGTTCCTGGGGTGACGTCAGGCTTGAGCTGAGTCTCAGAGGACAAGTCCAAGGAGACCGGGAGAAGCAGGGTGTTCTGAGCAGGGACCGGCAGGGCAGAGATGGCCGGGCTTTGGTGTTGCCGAAACCTCAGGCGCAGGGCGAGGATGGGAACCAGAGGCGAGACACAGGCAGGGTCAGATCAGAGGGCCAGAAGCCAACGGAGGCGGCGCTGTTTTCGTCCACGTGCGGTGAGACGTTTGTGAAGACTTGTGAGCGCTGACGTGAAGCGACCTGTTTTCTGGAAGGATTGTTCAGGCA